AAGAACAGGGTACTTGAATGACTCCTTCTAGATGATACTAATATTGGGCAGAACGAACTTATATTATACCCTCAAACATTAATCTAGACACCTCTATTTTATTTTAGGATGTCTCCCCATACGACGTGATGGGGATCGAATCCCCTCCCTCCACCAATTAATCTGCCCACTTAATGCAACAAGACGGAAGAGCGTGAGGAAAAAAAAATTCGAGCGTAGGTTGGGTGGTGTGGGCCCAGATTTTAGACTCGAGTGAGCCCGATTAAAAGTGAGAAGCGGCCCAAACGTGCCCTTTTTCCTATAGCCCGATTAATATTCCCATGGTGAGAAGCCAGGGAACATGACATACAGTGGCAATTTTTATGTTTTTTTCTTTTAATGATGGCAAATTTAATTTATTGATGCTCAGAGTAGTTTCATAATTTTAGACAAAGGGAAATAGCAAAACAAATAGAAAAGGCGATTGAGAAGAATCCAAACAAATTAATAAGCAACTTTGACATAACGCAAGCCTCACAGTAACGCGGTTTGGTAGCCCTCAAGCCACTCCCGTCCCAAATGATCAGAATTTGAATCAGATAAAAGAACTTCCATTTGCTGCTAACATTTCTTTTGAGGAAATTAACGATTTTCCTTAGCTTGCTCCCCTTTAGTGGTGGTATCATCCGAAAACACAAAAGCGACTTCTCTCTTAAGGCTTGCTCTCCATGAGAGATACAGCTTTGAGGCCTCCTCCCCCACTCTTTTTTTCTTCAAAATTAATGAAGAAAAGGTCGTCGATCGGGATGAAGTCAGCCCTGGCTGGTGATAATCTAATCCAACCGTATTTGATATTGATACAGATACAGATACAGATGCACTCCCCAAAAGTCAAAGCATTAACTAATATTATACCCTGATTATATATGTATATAGTTAGTTTTTTTTTTACCTGGATATGTATATAGTTAGCTGAACATTGATTGATGGCTGGTATGTATGAATGTGATAAAATATGTCATTCTTGTCCTTTTCCCCCTTAGTTTTAGACTTTAAGGATGGCGTCTCCAACGGTCACTTGCGGCGTTTGGGAGATCAGAAAACCAATAGTCCAATAACACAAATTTTATAGTACGTACAAAACACATTAAGGGCCTGTTTGGGTGTCTCTCCACCCAAATCATAGTTTGGAGAAAGAGACTGCTAAATAGGGACAATTCTAAAAAAACTATGGTTTGAGCCAAAACCATTGTTTTAGGTTCAAAATTATGGTTTCAGAAGAAGTGAATCCATTCTGTTTTTAGCTCAAATTAGAGACTGTCAAAGTACCTGTCAGAGTAGATCTCAACAATAATATAACTTTAACATTCATCAATTATTTTTTTATAAACTTATTTAATCTTATATTTTATAAATAGATATACACATATTAATTATTTATTAATTACATTATCTTATATATTATTAATTATGGTGGTAAAAAATATATTATTAACAATTTTATTCTTTCAAATTAAGATATATTATAAAATCTATTTTTTATGTAATTATCATATTAACTTATATCTTTTTTAGTAATTTGCACATATAAAAAATGTTTCTAATAATAACAACTATCTAAACACTCTCACTTTATCAGAATAACTTTTTTACAGAATCTATTTTTTCAATAATGTATTTTTCAGAAATTATTCTTCAAATCATGGTTAACTAAACACTTCCTAAATGAAAACAAAAGCTTGCTCGATCTCCCCCCCCCCCCCAAAAAAAAAAAAACGTAGCATACTCGGTTTAATTTCGCCGTAGTCCATAAGATCAATTTATTTATTTATTTATATAATTCTTTTAAATACGTTCCTCAATTGGCTCTGCTCGTGCCATCGAAACCGTCACCATCTGATTACAATGCGTATGAGTTTCGTGTCAAATTAGACTGATTAATAATTCATAAGACAATCTCAATCAAATTAAGCATCGTATAAGTGGCGTTTTAGGCGTGAAGATTTTTTTATAAAAAAAATAATTATCTCAGCAAATTCCCTTTCATGTGACGTGCTACTATTAAGATGGTCATGAAATGAAAGTCAACTGCACGTACAAAATTATCGTGTGCGGGAGAAAAATGCTCGGGCTGTCCTATGTTGTTTGACTTTTTAATCATTTTGAACTATAGAAGTACTACCTCGGATCCTATTTATAAGAGCTAGTTAATCAATTTAAACAAATTAAAAAAAGAAATTAAGTTAGTTATTTGTAATAAATATGTGTTATCTTTCCTAAAATATCCTTACTGATCAAGTGTATTGGCTAGAATTATTATTGTTAGAAGGACTATCTTCGAAAAAAATGTATAAATATGAAAGACAAAATAGATTAGAGTCTTATATTTAGAATTAAAATAAAAATCAAACAAAGTCTTCTATTAAGGATTGAGGTAGTATTAGTTTTTAATAAAAAGTATACGTCAATTGTATTTGGATATTTCCTTAATCATATAATTAGTTTAAATCGTTGACCTGTACTCATGCCTTATCTCACCTTTTATAAGAGTCGTGAATTGTGACGATGAGTGAAATTTTAATATGCAAGTGCGCGTGTTGTTCAAAATTAAATCTGGTAATAAAATAAAAATTTTCGTTTAAGTTCATCAAAAACTGTATGAGATGAATTTTTTTTATGAAATGAATAAGCCAATTTCATGTTTTTTCCGGAAAAAATATACATTAATTATTGGCTTGATCAGGTCCTAGTTTGAACATGATTTTCGTATTAGTCGCAGAGAAAGTAGGTTGCGATACCACGCCATAAAGCAACTAGTCATCAAGTGAACAATAAAAAATGATGGGTTGCGTAATTAAACAACAAAAATTGATAATGACGATGTTGTATTAATTAAGAAGCAGATTTGGAATCATAATAAGTACATTCCATAATTATTTTGACTTGATCATTTCATTCACTTATTCTTAATGGGAAATATGCAAATTCATTGAAAAAAGAAGGGCAAATTGTAGTGATAATGATAATTGAGAGTTGACGCTAATTAACAAACGCTCCATTATTCTCGCTCTCTCCCTTAAAAAAAAAATGAAATAAAATTAATGGGGTCGAGGTTTGGTTAAGAAAAGGAAAATGAAGATGACAAGTTACGTAACAACCTTAGCATATGAAACAACAATTTTTTCATATAGAAGTACGCGTACATTAATATAATACTAAACTAAATTAAAATTAAAAAATATCGATCTAAAGACCAAAATAATAACAAACAAATTAATGAGCTATAGCCTATAGCCTGAAGAGTTTTCAAATTCTGGCTAAATCTTTGAACTAATATTGAGGCTCATTTCGTGCGTCCGATCTAAAGAAAGCAATCAAAATACCACCTCTTATCTTTAATACAAAAACTATTTTGACATTTAATTTGATTCTAAATATAAGATACTAATCTATTTTGTCTTTTATATTTATTTATTTTTAAGGTAGCCTTTATAGTAGTTGGCTAGTAGCACATGTTAGAAGTGTCATCAAATGGTAGTTATATAGCTAATACACATGATTAATAAGAATATTTTAAGAAAAATAACATAACTAATTTTTATTAATCTACTCAAATTAATCAACTCGTTCTCGTATTAAGTACTGGAAGCACTAGTTTTTACAATATGTTCATGTTTATCTTTCCGTGCCCTGACCTTCGTCCTTCGAAAAGTGTGACAAGTGACCTCTTTTTAAACAAGTTTATGAAGATAATTAAAATTTCGATTCTCCTTGATCGACCAGGTTTAATTTGCCCGCAGACCTTTTGAGCTTCAGATGAATTTTTTTTTTTCCACAGCCACATATCAAAACTCTAATTTACTTCTGATTTTCCGTTTCACGCTAATTTTCAGAGACTTGAAATGCGACGTCGAAGTTGAAGATATTGCAATCCATTTTCCAATTTTGTGAACACGGCTCCCAATTTTATACCAATGTATATTTTGTTAATTTGTTGGACTCGCAAATTAAATTAATTTCTTCCTTAACATCTCCCGATTGAACTTGATCTTGATTTGATAAGCCTTGGAATACTGACCCTGCCTCGCTTGTTGAACTATTTAATTTAGCCGGCATTGTGGAAAACAAACTTTCTTTAAATATATAATAACTCTGTTTCGCGTTAAGGGATTAAGGGGTATCATGATAGTATCTCTCATATAAGAATTAGTTGATTAATTTGAGTAGATTTAAAAAATAAGTTAAGTTAGTTATTTGTAATAAATAGGTGTTGTCTTTCATAAAATATTCTTACTGATCAAGTATATTGGCTAAAATTACTATTATTGGAAGGATTATCTTAAGAAAAAATGTATAAATATGAGAGACAAAGTAGATTAGTGTTTTATATTTAGGATCAAAATAAAAATTAAGTAAGATCTTATATCATAAGATCTTATCTAAGGCAACAAGATAAAAGAAGACAATTGACTTTGGGAAGTGAAAGAACTGGAATCCAATGATAATATTACAATTTACAAATGGTATCCAGTTCATATTTATTGTTTTGACCAAGTAAACCGACTTGAATTCGGTGCGTCCTTTCTGAGAAAATACTATAAATATATATAAATACACACACATACGCATCTGACCTGCAATTTTTAACGGCTTATTCAGAAATAAATATACAGCATTTGCCCTTTTCTTAAAAATGGTCACACCCCACGCTTTATTTCTCTAGCAAGCTGCATTATGAATAAATTTTCGTGAATACTATAAATTAATTAGTTAATTAAAATTTATATATTTTCCCATGCCTAAAGACTTCGAAAAACAAGAGAGGGAGCAAGGCACCATATGAATGTTTTCCTCCGAGGTTTAATTTGATTAACAAAGAGCTAAAAATGTTAATTATTTCGTGGCTTCAGGCTTCAGCATCCACTATTTATCACATAAGATACAGCGGGGGTATGCTAACATGGGAAAGCAACACAAACGCGAGACAACTGACACATGGACAATTAATTACTGATTATAAATACTATATAAAGTGAATGTTTATTTCATTATTGTAAAAATTTAGTATAAAGGTGGTGAGTTCGGCCGAACATAAACAAACCCCTCATACAGTATAAAGAAAAAAAGAAGGAATGGCATCATATCACATCATATGAGCCATCATTAGCATGATATAGCTAATGAATTAATTAATACTTATTCATATATGATTTACAGCATAAACAAATTAAAATTAAAATTATAGCAAGGGCAGTTAATAACGAGGTTTCTTGATCGGCACATGAAGTGTTATTTGTCGATCGTTATGAGGCTGCAAAGGTCTGGCGTTGTTCTCTGCGTGCTGCCATTATTCATTCAATCAAAACACATTAATTTGTTAGTGAGACACACACACACAAATTAGAAACCGACATATATACATAGTACTTCAATAATGCAGCAATTATTTTTTCATAAGATGTACTTATAACACTTACATCGTGAACCGCCTCCTTCAGCAACTTCACTTGCTCCCTCGAAACTGTTCTTACCTGACCACGTTTAAATTCAAATATGGTACGCGTTTGATCAGATTATAATGCATCTATTGTATTCTTCTCTTATTTTGAATACATAATCTGCTCTTACTTTCCACTAATAAAAAATCATTATTGTTACAGCTTTAAAGTAATCATCTCTGAATTCAATAGTCTTCATTATTGTATTACTAATCATCTATGAAAACAAATTAAACTCGTAATACAAATGTTATTTTTTGAGGTTTTGAGCGAGGAAGATTAAAAGATGGGATATACCTTATGGTCGATGATCCAAAGGACACCTTCAGTGCAGGGAGGGACAGTGAGGGAGCCCATATATGTATAGTAGTTTCTGCCCCTCGTCCTTATTTCCAAAGGGTGAATCTTTCCTATTCCCTCTTCTTCTATTTCGTCCACCATTTCCTTTAAGTATTTCTCCAACTATCACATAACCAACAAATTCCTTTTATTGAACCCCCGCAGAACCACAACATAGAAACATATTTAAAACTGCCTTTTGACTGCCTCCGGTAAACATACAAGAGCGAGTTACCTTGGACAGAAACGGATCGGCGCAACCAATCTTGTACAGAAGTCCAACAACCACCACCTTTTCTGGGTTTGATGAGCTGCTGTGAACCATGTGAAGCTCCAGGTCATACCTACAACAACATCATATATTGCAATAAACAATTTGAGCTTGTCCCTTGGTCTGACTCTCTTTCACAATATTACTGTTGCTTGTCAACTTTAATATACAGAAATTCTCAACGCTCTCCTAGGAAAACGAGCTTAGCGTATAGAATAAAAAAGAAATGGAAGAGAACAAGACAAGAGAGAGACCTCCGGCCGTTGATAGTATGCTCGGAAGGCGAGTGCCAGTGGGCTTGATGCAGAAAGTAATCAGAGCCATTGATGCGTATTGAGCCTGCATCTCCTTCCCATTTCACCTGCACACATATATACATATACATATATATATATATATCAACTTTCCCCTATGGCGACATGAAAGCCAAACAGATTTAGAGGAAAAAGAGCTAGTAAGATAAATTGGGTAGGTACCTGAATATCGTGGCCTCTGTTCTTGAGCGTAGCATTCTGAGTCTTGTATGTGGTTTTGATGAAGCCAAACTTTGGGATAACTCTCACTCTGCGAGTCGACAGGTCAATAGGAGACTGCAAATCTCCATGCTTACAAGCTGCCCATTCCTCTTTAAGGTCCCCCCAGTGTTGGGGTCCCTTCTCGCTTCCCTTGACGTAATCGAACTCTCTCTCATCCTCTGCACAACACAGATCATTCACACTTAATAATTACAAGAAACAAGTCGGAGAAACCCAAACGGCGAAATATTCTGCATACCAACTTCCTGGGCTCTACTCAGTGTTGAGTGTACCGAAATGATGACCAGGAGGACTAAGATAAGAACTGTGAGGTTGCTCTGGGGCTTCATGTTTAATTTCGAGCAAAATACTAGAAACTATAGGAATCAAGTTGAAGTTGAAAGAGGATGGATGATCCCGGGTTGTATATATAGAGATGGAAGCAGGATCTGGAAGGGGAGAGAGATAGACTTGCTTCCCAAGTGAGAACCTTTTGCTTGTTCTGAATCTCAAATACTAATTAAGCGATGGTGTGTGATCGATTTGAATTAAATTTGGGTCTCTTCAGCTGATGATGACGACAAAGGGACATCTCAGTCCAACATAGAATATGCACAGACAGCCAGCCAGCCTGTCGGTTTTTAGTATTTTATTCCTAAGCTTTACTCGCGTTGTTATTACTCCCTGCTTTTTAACTCGAGATGCTGTTAATTTATTAACTGTTTGAAAAAAAAAAAACTTTACCTGTGTATTTAAATTTAAAATGGAACTAAATGACGAGAAAAATAGAAACAAATATTTTTTAAAAATAACATTAAAAACTGTAATAAATGCGCCCTCTGATGCTTATAATAAGGATTTTAAAGTGTCTTATATAAAAAGGATTGATATACTGTACTAAATCAGTGAACTCGATCCCCCAAAAATAAAAAAGGCGGGACAATATTTCCCACCGTTGTTGCCCGGCAATTTGAAAAAGAGTCGAAAAGAAATAATGAGCTTGCTTACCCGAATTCGATAAGCATACTTATGGCTTCAAGGATTTAAATTATATCCGAATTCGATAAGCATATTTATGGCTTCAAGGATTTAAATTATGTTTATTTTGATCTTTTCTTTTGATGAATTTTTTAAATTGTTTACCGAATGCTCAAGTCTACCCACTTTTTTTTCTTTTTTTGGAGTGATAATGCCTAGGCAGCGAGAGACGCATCCATTCACAAAGGATCCTCCCACCAACCCCTTACCGCGTGATATGGGTAACTAAGTTCTCAGAGGATGTTTAGGTAAAAAAACAAATTATAGTTTTAAAAGTTATTTTATGAAAAATAAATATGTGAAAGAGTTTGTTTTAATATATTAAAAAGTATTTTTTTAAATTTTTTTTATTGTTTGCCAAATGGCCCCCAAACTTTGAATTCAACTCACCCTGCATTCCAGAAAGTTTTGCATTAACAACCGCAAAATAATTTTTAATTAGACCAAACATCTGTTCCATGCGGATCGAATATAATACTTCACGCAACAATTTAGGAATCAAAAAAAGGAGGAACATGCATGGAAATTTGTTCCCGTCCGTTTATATTTTCTTATAGGGGTCTGGTAAGGGCAGTTTCTTTTAAGGGTTAAGGTGCACCCAACACCCATAAGTATTTTGTCAGGTGCACCCAGTGGCCTGAAGTAATTTATAGTGTAATTTTACCCTCAAAGTAATTAAAATGGTGCACCAGTATCCCATGCTAACAGATCTGTTAGTTTGACCGTTAAATTGATGAGTCAGCACAAGTTTGACCAAAATAATCTGACGTGGCATGTCTAATAAGGAGGTGACGTGGAATTTTTTTAGGGTTAAGGTGCATTCAGCACCCCCAAGTATTTTTCCAGGTGCACCTAGTGACCTAAAGTAATTTATAGTGCAATTTTGCCCTCAAAGTAATTAAAATGGTGCACCGGTATCCTATGCTAACAGATTTGTTACTTTGACTGTGAAATTGATGAGTCAGAACAAGTTTGACCAAAATAATCTGACCTGGTATGTCTAATAAGCAGGTGACATGACTTTTCTTGTTAATTCCATTGTTTTGTCTGAATATTACTCCTTTGATCCTATTTATAAAGTACTTCCAGCATGTTTTACACAGACCAAGGAAAATCTTAAATTTCATTAACTCTCATTTAAATTTTAATAACTTTTTAACTTTATCCCTATTTAATATATATTATATCTCATGTAAACAAAGTCAATACAATAATAAATGAGGGGTAAATTTGTACATTCATACAAAAAATTTCTCTCAGTGCCTTATAAATAGAACCAAAAAATATTTTCTCTTTCTATCCTATAAATAGGACCAGAAGAGTATCTCTGAAAAAATTTCTTACTCTGAAAAAAATTCCAAGAGTCGAAGAGAGCATTTACTAAACAGAGAAAACAAAGAAGTGGCAGACGAAAAAAATTCCACTTCACCTGCTTATTAAACATGTCACGTCAAATTATTTTGGTCAAACTTGTGCTGACTCATCAATTTCACAGTCAAAGTAACAGATCTGTTAGCATAGGATACCGGTGCACCATTTTAATTACTTTAGGCCACTGGGTGCATCTGGAAAAATATTTGGGGGTGCTGGATGCACCTTAACCCCCAAAAAATTCCACTTCACCTGCTTATTAGACATGCCACGTCAGATTATTTTGGTCAAACTTGTGCTGACTCATCAATTTAACAGTCAAACTAACAGATCTGTTAGCATGGGATACCAGTGCACCATTTTAATTATTTTAAGGGCAAAATTATACCATAAATTATTTCAGGCCACTGGATGCACATGGCAAAATACTTGAGAGTGCTGGATGCACCTTAACCCTTCTTTTAATCGTAAAATTATCCAATGTTCAACACGATTTTCAACATTGGCCGTTTTAACGCGTCCAAAGTAAATCACTGTATAAAATAGAGTCGATCGGTTCATATTCATAAAGTCGTTCCGTATTTCTCTGAGCATTCTAATGAGCTGGCTCCATTTTCGATTTGCATGATTTTCAAGATATCTAGGTCCCAAAAAGACCAAGTTGGTGGAACCCCACTCGCTTTCTCGAAGCATCCAAAATCCAACATAAAATACTATGTAGCTGTCAGTTCCGATCGCGAATCATGGTGAGGGGTATATGGACTATATGTATCATTAGAACCATCATCATGCCTCGCATTTTCTTAGTACAGGTGTCATGCTCTAGTTGTTCGTAACTACCACTGTCCCAGTAAACCTGAACCGTAATTCTTTTTCGAAAGCAGAAAAATATCATAAGGTGGACGGTAGATACCAGATATGAGTGTTTGTCAGTTGGAGATTGCCTCTCCGTTTTGTTTTAATATATGATACCAGAAGTAACTACAATATATACTGTAGTTTGCGGCTTTAGGCATCAAAACCATCTTTTTTCGTTAAATACCTTTTATGTCGTTTCCCCATAACCAGTTTACCAGACATATAATTGCTTATGTTGTCGATAATTTGGTAGATGATGTCCTGCTTTTACAGAGATTCCTGCAGGGAAGACACGTAGAAGGAGCAAGGAATGAAGTCACCTGCGCGGCATAGCATCAGAGTGGGATCATGGTTCTGTTCTGTCATCAAAAGACAGGGAAAATATCAGAATGTTCTTTTTATCATGATATTTAATTAACTAAATATCAAGTAGGCGCCAGTATTGGAGGTTAAAAAGGTCGATAGCATTTGGTAAAGTTAGCTCCAGCAGTACCCAGATCATCGAAGGAGAGGGGAGATAAATGAAGAGGCACTAACAAAATGAATAACAGGTACCCGCTAATCCACCTAACAATGTGATCTCAATGATAAGGGCAGATTTAGACTCGAGATATTTCTAAGCATTAACACCTATATAAATAGAGTTAACGGTAAATCCTGTTTTGGACATCATCGTTAAAGCTTGAAAATTAAACCATGGAAGCGAAGGTCAAGTTGGTCACAGTGGCGATTCTGCTGGTGACGATGGGGGAGTTTGGTTGGGGAATGAACAAGAGAATGATGATAATGAGGAAAGAAGGCGAATCAGAATCAGAATCAGCATCAGCAGGAAAGGAAATAAGCCGAGAAAGCGTCAACAGTGATGAAAATGAGGATATAACTAATCACCATCGTATTCCCAGAGACGACTGGAACAAGGGCCATTATCAACCTGCCCAACAATCGCCTTAGACTTCTCGATCGCAAGGTTTATGGTACTATCAATTTTGTATATTGCTCTGTACTAGTCTTTTTCTGTCTCTGGTGATTTATGCATGTTCTGCCTGTTCCCACTGCCACAACTGTAAATATTATATTCGGAGTTAAATTCCTCCACATCGTCTTCTTTAGAGGCTATCCAGTCTATCAATGTCAATACAAACTTTAGCAAATGCAGGAAGCCTTTGAAGTTGAATATTGTATTTCTTTACTATTGATAGGTGAAAATCAAAGTGACAAATTTTGGGCCTCTATTTTTGTTTAGAATTTCGGCATGTTGCCCCAGCACTTGAATTATTTTAGTTTTGTCGGCTAGAAATAATGCCATCAGCGCCTCGCGCGCATGTAGATCGGCATCAGGTGCTTCGTTCTCCATTAACTCGCGTGATGCTATCTGGGATCAAATAAATTACACTGTCTATTTTACATCATGACGGAGCGTGGCAATTGTCTGTAAGACTGTAACGAGCAGCCAGCTTCCATAGGAACAAACAACCGGGCATCGCTTCTTGCCTGAAAAAATTAGTCACACAAGTGAAGTGCCCAAAATTTGGAAGGGAAAAATATTCCTCCCTTTTATGCTCATTGCTCGTGCTCATATGCCATTCTGGTGAAAGTAAGTTTCAGCCCAACACCCCCACAAACCACCATGCCTTGATGCAAAATACCTTAGGCGGGGAAAAAGCCCAGTCTTATGCTAAGATACAAAGAACAAGGTTCGAATTCTGTGCCCAGAAATATGAAAGGAAAAAAAATTCCATATTTCTCTCTGTAGGGGAAAAAATACAAGAAAGTATTTCACAGAAGGTTCTTAATCTGAAGGCACTGCTATCAACCTGCAATGCATTTAAGTTACATTTACCGCGGCTCTTTTCCAAATGGTTAATCATCGGAACGAGATAAAATGAGAGCGAAGAAGCAGAAGAGAGACCAAAAAAAGGTTTTTTTTTTTTTTTTGTTTTCTCCTAGAGGGGGGGCGCGCAAAGAGGGAAAGGAGGAAATTAATAAACAATCGTACCAACTGAAATGAAGAGGAGCAAAGTTACTTCCTAACTCGTTTCGTATATCCAGTCACTCCCAGTTGTGAAGGTGATGAGGCAAGGTCAGACTAGGCTGTAACCATTTGATTCCCTCTCCCTGCAGCCGCATCAGTCAGTCTCTTCCAATTCAATTCTCTCTGCTCTTCCACTGATTTGGTCTTCGCCTCTTTCTCTGCATATTGCCTCTGGCACTCTTCAAACAATTCGGCATCCATTTCGGTGAACATTTTCCGTACGTTCACAGTCAACCCATGAACCGCCTGGTTCCAATGACTCTGAATATTTTTCTCCAATGCTTCATATATTATCGGGAATATCACAGCCCGGTTTTGGGCTATCAAGCTAACAATGTGCTCATTATTCCATAAAAAAAGGGTCCGTTCTGCAACCTGCATCACAAGTGGGGCTTAGCAAATATTCCTAAGGAGAACATTCAGAAATATTTCTATATCTGTCAATACCCAATCAAATGGTTCAGTTCTAACTTCAAATAGTTGGACGACCAAAAAAAATTAAATAGATTGACCAATATTCTGATTACCATAACTTGACCAGTAAATTGACACAGATAAATAAGTCACATTCTCACAGAATAATACCCGAAGTAAATCCTATTCTATGGGAGGTCTTCCAACTTACAGTGATAAAACCATATTGGTAAGGGAACGATATGTACATCGATTAAATAAAATCACCTCGACAATCTCCAAACCAAGCGGAAAACCATCACTCATTTTCACGCCATTTTCTTTTGGTTGAGTTTAAGATCAAGACCTAATAATGTGCTATAGCTCCTGAAAAATTCATTATCAGACCCCAGATTTGGTGAAGCTGAAAACAGGGAGGAGTTGGCAGTTTGAGAGGCCTGTGCCATTCTGCAATGTCTCAATTCGGTTATCGAAGTTGAACATGCTTCCTCCTGATTTAAGAAACGATTAGCATTGTACTACCTACTACCCAAAGGAAAGGTCAAGTTCGACAGTTTGAGAGACCTGTGCCCGTCAAATGCTGGCTCCAGGAAAAATTAGAGAGCCCAGAATAGTTTCTTTAGGATTCTGGTTCTGTACCCTGATTTGGTGTTATAAAGTATATTCTGCTTACCCAGCATTTAAATTCTGGTATTACAGAAATTCATTTCCAGGTGGAATTCACTATCTGCAAAATCCATCATAACTATCAGGTTTCCAGTTGATGCAATTCAGTGCTTATTTGGCTAAGATTTTTACCCCTCAAGCAAATAAGTGATCTAATCAATTTGAAAACACTAAAGTTTCAGTCACAAAAAAAAAAAAGCACCCTATTTTGTTAGGGATTGGCTGGCAATCTGCAAGTGTGGTAGTCTCGTTCTGGTGCACTCCTTCAGTTACATAACTGTGGTGTGAGGTTCAACAACGTTGGAGCCTCAATGAAATTCTTCGTTGAACAACAGCAAGAATGCGGACAACTTTTCAGATTAGAACTACCCAACAAAACAGAAGCATATACTTAAAAAATACTATTTTAGAACCATATAATCCAATTAGAGCAAAAGAGTGGCTCTTCATCCGGAGAAAAAAGCAAAATGTAAAATGATGACAAGACGATCTACAATTAAGACCAATAAATTTCTGCAAGGAAATCAATTAAGTTGTTTGCAGAGACAATATCAACAAAATCAAGCAAGAAAGGCAAAACACACACACGAAATCAAAACCAGCTCTTAACCCAAAAGCAGATAACCTCTCGCCCCAAGTCACGTGAGTGTCCCTCACCCCCTTGAAATCTCATATTCTTTATGGGAATAAAAGTAGATAATGCCTGTGATTTGGCTCATTACCGTACATGTATTTAAAATGTAGTAGTAAATCCCACACAGTCAAGCCCCAGAGAGGGCCTTTTTTTTTGTGGTTTTTGGTTTTTTTTTTGGTGGGGGGTGGTCTATGGAGAATTGACTTGGTTAGGCATCTCATGAACCTTCATATTCGAAGCAGTTTGGACTTTGGAGGAACCTTTGAAAGAGCCCTACCCCAAACGCTAGTTTCTGAGGTTGGAGAGCCTAAAGTCCCAATAAACCGTGGATCAAGTCTCATGCTTACCATGTAAAGTGCACCCTTGTCAGGAAGGATTAATAAATTTAACAGTCAACTTCTTCTTGTCCATAGAGTTGTCTTGTTATGGACATTAACTCCATTACCATTCAGTTCCTGATTTATTGCCATCTTAAATATTCTGTTCGGTACACCCCTCTGAGGATTGATTAAATTCACAGAAGATCTTGGTAGCCAACAACTTCCTTCAGCAGTTTTTAACCATAAAACTAAAATGACAATTCAATACCCTAAGTCATCAACCATATTTTTGTTTCTTTATCATGGCAGGGAGGTAATCTAGAAATTGTAAGACAAGTAACGTCTGTAACTTCAATAAAGTAATACTAAGTGCATAGGTAGCTGCAAAAGAGAATATTCACGTGGAATTTTGTATAGCCTGTATGCATACAAGTTCAACGTTCAATAGACATCATGAATGTTGCTCTTCAATGTATACCAGCATCATAAGGCAGCTATCGCTTTTCCTATCAAACCAAACATCCTTGATAGATGCATAGCATTAAAAAAAAACAAAAAATAAACAAGCAAGATTTTGCAAAACACATAAAAAGAAGCAGTTCAAGCAGCATCATAATTAAGAGTCATTGCCATTAATCCGAATCAATACCATTATAAAATATGATTTACCACAAACCTGAAAGTGAGAACTGGTGAGACAACGGGCAATCTGTCTGAAAAGGGGCACCATGCAGCGTTGAAATTCTGCACCCTGTGTAGCTTCCAGCACTTCCTCCAGTTCTCCAAGGAAGAGAACTTCCTTCTGGCAATTGGTCAGCGGCCAATACTTTAATAAACCCCTAATAACTGTATCTGCCAGCTTGTAATCCTTTTCAACAAACTGAGTGATACAGTATGACAACTGCTGATGATAAATTGCAACGGGCTTAGGTTTGTGTAGAGGAATAAGGGCTCGAACAAGAAACAACTTGTGCTCCTCTTTCATTGGCAGTGCAAACCCATTGATTATACTGCCGAGAATCTCAAGAAGCTCCGCAATACCGCTGTGCCTCTCAGTCTCGTAAATAAAGCGGTAAAAAATGTTATTAATTGCCTTCCTAATAAAGGGTCGGTGAACCATGAATTTTCCGTATATACGATGTAGGATGGTTTTCAAATATTCTCGCTCCCGAGGATCCTCAGAGTCGAACAAATCAAGTAATTTCAACACAAAAGAATGATCAATGTATCGCTTGGCAACCTTGGTATCGGTATCCGACGACACCACATATCTCAGTAGCAGCTCGTACACAAGCTGCAGATGGGGCCATGCCGGTTCCAAGCATGGTTCCTCCTCTTCCGGGTCGTTAACCTCTTGTCCCGTATTTTCATGTGAAGCCGGAGGCAAGCACCGGAATATATTTACCGATATCATTCTAATCATTTCTTCCTGACAATTTTCTGTAATCTTCCCTGACCCAGATTGTATAAAGTCAACCAAATCCATTAGCGCCTGCCGCTTAATTTCCTTCTCTCGAACTGACTTCAAGGTGTCCAGGAAATCCAAGACGTAACAGCAAATCTGCAACTTCCGAAGGAACAAATTCTGCCTCTCCGAAACGGGCACATCACGGAACGATGGAAGGGGTTCCATAGCACCTGATGGCGGAGGCCCGCCTAAAGTAAGGCCTGATGCGCCTGTACCAACCTTGTTGGCGCCCACATTGGTGGGCACCGCATTGCGGTTCCCAGCTGGGGCGTTTCCATAGAGCGATACGTCGTTGGGATCGGACTTGGCGGGCTTTTTGCCCCCGCCCTTCATGATTTTCTTAAACATTTTCGAAATGCAACAAACCCTAACCCTATATTCTCAAGCTCATGAAGATATTCAGAATGAAGCCCGTGATTGGATTCCGAGGGAGTACAGCGAAGACATCAAACAAAGGGAAGGATGACCATGCTACGTTCCCAATCCACAAATTATTTTCTTCCCCCAATTTTCGCATCAAGACACAAAGGCCCGCGAATCTGGAAGTGGGAGGTGGAACCGAGGAAATTTATGGGGACGTTCCAAAGCGCTCCGAAATTGGCAAATAACGGATCAAGTCGGCGAAAAGGCCATGTCGCATCACCAGAATGCTGGCCAGACAATCGGTCGGAGATGCGTTCCGGCGATCAGCCCGCTGAAGATGGAATAGGTGGCAGATACAGAGGGGGAGAGATTGAAAGTGACGACAGTGGGGAGATAATTAAGGAAGATAGAGAATTAGAGAGGTAAATATGACGAGGGATAGTGATTATCCATTACAATTTGCAAACTCGCTTTGTTTTTTATGGCAAATCGGTTTATCTTTTCATTTTTTCCAGTTTATTTATCATTTCCCCGTCTTTCTCCTACTCACCATAAAATAACTAAAATTACGAAAATCCTTTAAGGGAAAAAACCGAGGGGAAGAGAGGGAAAAGCACGAAGAGAGCCAGGGGAGCGGGTGTGTGGCTACGTGGCTCATTAGTGAAGGAGGAGGAATGAGATGGTCCCACGTGGCAAGTGAAAGTAACAGGTTCACGGTTCACCTGATGGATTTGGTAACAGTGTTGTGTCAGGATCCAGGACCAGGATCGTCTCTCGCTCCTTCCTCGTCCTCAGCTCTAACTGCCACATTTTTGTTGTCCCTTATTTTTTGCCGGCCAAAAATAATTTGCCTCTTACCTTCGTATGAGAAAATTGGAAGGAAAAGAAGGAGAATGAAAATTTTAATAAATTTAATTTAAAAATTAAAAAATAGGATCATAAAATTTTAATAAAAAATATATAAGATAAAAGAGTAAGCAAATTAACTTGAAGTTTTTAAGCTCTTTTTTTTTATTTTTTAAGTCGGGCTCATCAACATTTTTTTCATACCAAACAAACCTTTATTTTGTTGCCGCAAACTATGAAATGAGATCTTCCTACATTAATTACCCCAATCCAATCTCTTTTTTTTTTTTTACCGCATGTTGTTAATTATCCTGTGAATATGTCTAAGATTGGTGTAAGTGGTGTCACTTTGATTGTTTTTATAACCGCCTAATGCAGGAAATTATTTATTCATCTTGTCTTAAATATAAAATTCGTTTACATTAAAAAATAAGAGTCAGATGAGTATGAAATATGTCTTTGGGAAAATGATAATGACAATTTCTCCTTTTTACTCTCTCATCATCACCTTTTAAAAAGTAACGTGACTTTAGTCTTTTGGTTCTCATGCCATTCATTCTCTTTTTAAAAAAAATTTACCAAGCAAAAAAATGCACTCACCTTATCTTTAAATCGATATCATATCAAATAATAATTATTACATTATGTTCCCCACTGTATGTGTGCGTATATATATTATTAAACTCTGTAGATAAAAGTGCAAATCATCTCTAGTTGTTTTGGCAGGTAAATTGTTTTGATAATAATAGTAGTAATAATAGTACTAGTAGTAATAATAATAATGATAATGGTGGTGGTGTTTGACCGGTGGTGCGTGGTTGGATATATTGGATGAAAGGGTGTCCACGAGGAAGGGAGTCAAGTGACAATGATGAGAAACTAATGGGAGAAATATTAAAGCTACTTATATTTTTTTATCAATTTTTAATTTAGTATCTATATTTTTTTAATTAAATAATTCAATTCTATTTTTTTAATTATATCAGTTTTTGTAATTTTATTTTATTAGTATTTTTTATTCTCTATGTAAAGGTTAATAATGTTAATAGAACAAAACTAAAAATTTAATTAAAAATACATTAACAATTTTAAAAAAATATAGATACGTTAAAATTGTTTTCCCTTGAACTGATGAAACATTGTTGATAAGCCTTTGACTTTTTTGCTCACCGCCACACACGTTCTGTCCCATCCGATTTGGACCTCCAAATATCTACTCCTTCAGTCTTTTATTTTAAGAGACATTTCATGTTTATAGCATGTTTTCATATATAAGAGACACTTAAAAGTTGTTTCTATTTCTTTGTATTAATTTCTTATTTTATCCCTATTTATTTTTCTCCAACATACTCTCTCCCCCTTCCACTTCTCTTTCTTTTAATAATTTAATTGTTCTCTCTCATACTCTCTCCTTATTAATGGACATATTGTTAGAAAAAACATTATACTTTTTAAACATTAATTATCCTCAACTAATTTTAACTGTTTTTTTATCAACGTAATTTAGTTATTTGTCTTTTATAATAAAAAACGGAGAGAGTACAACAAAAGCGGAGTGGGTGCGTCAGAAAATCAAGGTCACTTCTGCATGCGGAGGATGAGTTGTAATTTTAAGAATTTTAACTGCGAGGGGGAAATAATGAATAATATAATAATTTTATCGATCTTCTTTCCAACAGAAATCGTAACTGGAACAGTATAACTATTTCAGGTGATGCCGTTAGATTCCCCAAGATCGCATTATTAAGTTCCCCCATTATTATACTGTACAAGTATATAAATGTGTGTGTGTGTGTGTGTGAAGACGTTTTCGCGCTTTTTTTTGTTTTTTTGTTTGGTTTTGGTTGGTGGAAGTGGAAAAGTTTCCTCGCTTGTTCTCTAGGTAGAAGTAGTGGGTCTTGGTAAAGTAGCCCAACGGAAATTATATTTCCGTCTCATTGAATGGTTAAGAAAACAGATGGGCTTGAATCCATATACTAGTGTCTCGCAGAGGTTGGTCTATAATTGAAGTGGGGGCCCAGGTCCAGCCGTGTTGCTTGCTTGCTTCACTCCATAGTCCATATCGCTTGATATCGTCCCTTGTCTTATCAATCAATGCGGGTAAAGAAACGAAAATTGACTTTGTTCCCAGTGATAAATTCTGTGCCTTTCTATCGTTTATCCAGTGACGTTAAAATACCAGAGAGAACAAGACAGAAGATTTAGCGGTTAGATTAAGAGGGCAGTAATGATTAGGAACGGAAGGATTGTTAGCGTAGAAATGCAAAAATGGGAAGAGGGGAGGTGCGTCAGGGTGACCAAACACGTCGTGAAATGATAATTGGATGGGAAATATTGCGATTTGGAGAGAAGCATTGAAATGAAACGAGGCATATCCATCCACGGTAGTGCGTTGGACCAGAGAGCCCCACACAATCCCATGCTTCGTTTGAATCACCTTTTTGAATCCACAAACACAAGCATGGGAGGCCAGGGCAGTACATACTGCTTCCTTATTCAATTTCTCCTCTAATTTAGAAGCCGGTAGTGATATAGTCCCCACGCACCTTCCACTTAACGGATGCCGCATGTGGTGTTGTGATGAAATGGGCGTCAATTCCAGATTGCGCCCTTCTTTCGCTTTCACTTAATTCGGGCCACGCTCGTGCTGTTTTTGACTTGAAGCTGCACTCCGCTGTTGTCAGTGAAGTCGAATTGAACAGAAATGTGTTGTGGGGAGGCATTTGGGCAAATGGTGATCACCGCCCACAAGCCGATCGCTCTCTGGAAACCATCCATCAATAGAATTACAAGAAGCAACGTCTCTCGCCTGCACCACCAAACAACCTCATTCACAAAATAACATGCCTCCACACTTTCACGGTGTCTTTTCACTAGAATTACTCGTTATCACCTCAGTGACCTTTTAGCTTGATGACATTAAAGTTCTCCTTTCAATCATGTCTCTAATTATAATTATAAACTCATGATCTCAGCGTCAGTATTTTGATTCCCATAACTCTCTAAATATTTGTCAGTCTTTTGGGTTCACATAAACAGAGCTCCCATTTTTTTTTAAAAAAATATATATATTGTTATTCCGCAACTTTCCAGTTTTTTCCCCCCTAACTAAACCTAATTACCTTTTTCAATATTTGCTTGCTTCTTCATTTATCGTCTCATAAAAAGGTCGCAGGAGCCGATGAAGGTTCTCTGTGGTTATTTTAGATAATGGTCCTTAATTGCTAATGGCTCGTCTAAAATTAAGCCGTTCACTGAACAAGAGTAAATAACGAGAAATTCACAGAACCGACAAATGAGTCCTACACTTATCAAGTGGTTTGTAAAATCTAAGCATAGCGTGAGGATTAGAATCTACCTAATTTTCAAAAACCTGATCATCTGTTGCCAAAGCTTGCCAAAATGCAAGCCTTTAAATAGCTTGGTTTTATTCTTTCTCATTCATTCTCGTACATTTTCATTTATATCATAAACATTCTAAACAAATACATCGCATTATTAGCATTCATATACATAATTTACATATTAGGAGAATCATATATTAACCAATAGCTTCATTCATTGACATAAATAATTCTCCACTTTCTTCTCTTTCCTTCTCATGCTCTCCTTCATGCAATCATTGTCTATCATACTTGACCTGATGTCATGAGACACTTGTCACTATAAGATTAAAAAAGAAAATGAATTGTCCGAATCAAGCTATACATTTTTAAGATCAACGGCCTAGATTCAGTATTGTTTTCTATAAATACTCTTAAATCCTTATTTAGCAAAACAATCCGTCAACACTCATCTGTCTATCTCATTTGTCTATGTTTTTTTTTGGGGGGGGGGATAACTCCTAAAACCAAACAAAATAAACCAAACACTTAACCTCTATCAAGCATCGATGTTATAAAAAGAAAAGTTATATAAAACAGAGCACACATCAATTCTATTTCTGTCTGAACTACAGAAAAAACTTATGTATACATAATTTTAAATGTTTATTTAATATAATTACATAATTTGTTAATTCAACTGTTCACCCATCGTGCTAACATTAAAGATCATATACCTAATTTACATTGATTAATTAAAGAATTGTACGTAATTAAGTCCAACTTAACGAGAAGTATACTTTCTGCCTACGAAGCCTAAATTTGTTATGCATTTTCTTATTACTGACTTTGAACATCCGACTGTAGGTTTCCACGGAGCACGCCTAGAAAACGATATCGACCAATTAGCCCGTAAAATCAACAGTCTGATTGCAAGTTGCAGACTTTTCAAGTCAAAATTACTCTCTCACCAGTTTGTCCTACCACCGAACATGCTTATTGGCCTATTTGCTGAGTACTTTCTGACTCCTAAGTTTGAATCGTTAGTCATACGTCTCCGAGACTCGAAACAATCGTGACCAATAAATAAATAGTCTGATTGCAAGTTGCAGACTTCCATGTCGAAATTACCCTCTCCCCTTTTTGTCCTTAACCTCCGACATCGTTTTTGGCCCGTTGCCTTTAAAATGCGCTTTTCTAACTTCTTTGGTTGTTGCAGTGTATTACTATCTACTCCCTTATCTGCGCGTGGATCGGAAGAATAAAATGTAAACTTTCAGGGAGAAATCTATGTAAAGTAAACTGTTTGATCAAGCTGCCAAACATTTTTCTATTATTCATATACTTCAATCATGGCTACAAGAGACAAGTGATCAGATATTCTAATTCGTAACATACAAAACATCAGATAAGCGCTATATATTCCACCCCCTTCACGTTCTACTGTTTTTATCGGAATCTCCTTCGCCGCTTGTGGTGGCGCTGAAGGTTGCATTTGCATGAGATTCTGTCTCTAAGGAAACAGAGCCACTTGTCGGCCCCGCTGTTGTCACAGGCTGTACTTCTATTCCGTACTTACTGTACATGTCGCCTTTGTAAAATTTTCTGGTCCTGATTACCAATATGATAGAAATCAAACACCCTATAAACGCCGATGCTGTGATTATTAGAAAGGCCATCCGGTAGCAGTGAACTCCGATGCAACTTAAATCTTCCCCTTTTTTCCTTGTGAGTCCCTTTGCCTGCAACTGTTTCAACGCCTCCTTGTCGTATAAAGAACCTGTCACTTTCACGTTCAGGATGTAAGCTCCCACAGGGCTCGCCACCGCCCCCATATTGAGCAGAGTGGAGTAATACTTGAGGCCGAATATTTCAGATATGATGGCGAATATCAGTGGCCATTGTGCTCCGAAGCAAAACCCGGCAATCACGGAAGAGAAGTAAAGAGAATTGGGGACCCCAAAGGCAATTAGAAGATGTCCGACGCAAGACAGAAGCATAATTAGAGAGAGCATCAAAGGACGAGGGAATTTGTATTTGGTCAAGAAGATTTCAGAGGTGAAACCAGAGACTACTCGTCCCAGATAGTTCCATATGCTCACCAAGGACACAAACGTCGAGGTGCTCTTATTCGGATATCCCAACGATTTTGCTATTTGTCCCAAGTTGTCAATGGCAGTTAAAGTTCCACCGACACTAAAAGTGGAGGCAGTGAACAGAACCAGCATGTCGATGCTGAAGATAGCTTGCAATATGGTATAGTCCTCTCCCCTCTTTGGCGGTTTAAAAGTGTTGCTAAAACAAGAACTTTCCTTCTCTGGCTTGGAGGTCGTGGTGGAAGATTCTAGCTGTGGCTGAGGTGGTTCCGACATTGGAGGGGGAGCTTCAGCGACGACTACCACTCCAGAAGTACTGGTCAAGGCTTGCTTTTTGGCTCTCCAGAGGTACAGTTCCTCCCTGAAAACTACGACCAGTGGGAGAAAAAGTAACAACAGAACCATGACGCCATCAAACACATACTCAATCCTCGTAAAGCTCAGCTTGTTCTGTATGATGATCAATACCATGAGGAACCCTGCAAGGCCGAGTGAGATATAAAGAAGATTATAGAAAACTCTGAGCTCCTTAGGTTGTCGAGTTGTGCTCAATATCCTAATTGTTGGGAGGAAAAGGATGGAGACAGCGGCGGGAATCCACGCAATGAGCAAGATGAGAGATTTGGAGTCGTCGCCATAGAAGGCATGGTAAAGCTGAGTTATAATGGCGCCACTGAGCCCAACATAACCCTTGAGAAGTCCCAAAACGCTGCCACGGCTTCCGGGGAAGTTCTTAACGCACGTGACCAAAGCACCGGTATTGGAAAAAGACTGGGAATTAGCACCAATGCAGATGTAGAGACACATTTGCCAGACTTGGGGCTTAGCAATACGCCCAGTAACGGCGAGCCAGATCATGAAGTAGCCGAAGAAATTCATGACGGCCCCAGCGGAGAGGACCACCCAAGGAGGAGTGATCTCGTTGATGAGCCCGGCCAAGACGCCCACGTTGGCACCCAAGTCTTTGAAGAAACTGAGCAAGTTGAGAGTGCTCTGGTCGTAGCCTAATGAGGTCTTGATGTCATTCGAGTATAAACCAAACATATAGGTAGCGCCGGCGACGGCCATGATCAGCAGAGACGCGAAGACCATGAACCAGCGGCCGGTGACCACTTGGTGGCTGAAGCTTCTCATTTCTCTCCAGCCACCGCCGCCGGTACCGACCTCTGTAGCTACCATTGTCGGGATGGTGTTGCGGAGTTTGAGATTGGGAACGAGTTTATATAGACGAGTGAGAAAAAACGAAGATCCAAATCCAGACGGAGTCGCAACGCAGGTTGACTATAGGGTAGCTGTTGGCGTTCGTGGATAAGAATCACATGTGCGAGGATAATCATATTAGCGCAGAAAAGGACAAACGTTGGGCGCAATTATTGTAATTTAAGCTCGTAACTAAAGCTTGCTGGGTCCCACGACAGACAAGACATAATGGGAGTGTGAACTAGATGTTTGTTAAATCTCATGGATGGATGGGTTTTAATATTTAATATTTTTGTTTTTTAAAAAATATTTTTTGAATAAGTACATAATCTAAAATAAATATAATCTCCTAAGTATAAATTTTTTAAAAATAAAATTTTTATATAAAAATTATTAGTTAAAAATTTTAAATCTAGACTATTAAAACTGATTTTGAATTATTTAGATTTCAGCGCAACCATAAATATTATAAGATAAGGCCAATTATTATGATAAGTATCCAAACTCGTTACCGTGGGTGGGCATCTCAATACATGACCCTGACGGAGGACTTTTGTTGTTATCTGCTTAAATCACTGACCAGAAATCACACAAGAACATAGAACCATATCTTCACCGTTGTTTCTGCCGAATGGCTGAGATGCAATACTTTTTCGAACTTGCGAAAACTAAATCAGACGAGTAATTCTGTAAAATATTTTAATTAGCGATATGCATGGTAGGTAGAGATCTAACCATAAAAATAGCTTAAGTGAGTTTAACCGTATAGTTCCCCATCTCCTAAGGTTCCAGCCTGCGCCTTTGGGGTGATGCCTCCTTTTTACTTTTTGACCGCGCTGAAATTAGAAGCACCAAAGGTGCTTCACGTCATAAAACAAGAATATAATCATCAGTTTTCATTTGAAATCGGAAGTTAATGGAGGATTTACCCCGGCCGGAAAACGAAGGAAAAAAAAAACTCTGGAATTAGAAGGATCATAGAAGGAGAGGTCTCAGAATAATTTATATTTAAGCCCGGCGGTCTAAGAACAGTTATTTGAAAGATCAACATAGGGTTGACTGATGCCTGCTTCTGGATAAATCAATTACTGGACCTACATGATGACTTCGGGGGGATGGAGCTGATGTAGAATCCTTGTCCAGGTGGAACGTTGGCAGTGACAAAAGTTCATAGAGAATAATGAGAGCATCATCTGACAATTCTTCCTCTCGTGACTATTATTTTGTAATATTAATGGCTTCCAAGATTCTCTAAGGTAACCTGGCAGGATAGGCGACGATTACTGCATCATCTCCAAATTGTACTCATGTGGGTTCGAGGGGCCTTTTTCCTTTTTTTTCATCCACTCATCAGCGTCCAGCTATTAAGTTGTCAGCTTCATAATAGTAAAAGAGAACTCTTCACGAGAGGTTTTTGCCCCCCTTACCCGATCGTGCTAATTAGGAGTTTAATGCAGAGACCGTTCCTGACCTGGCCAGTTTGTTCTACTCCTAGGTGGGTGCGTATTCTACATTTAGACATTAGTAGAGTAGTATCTGTTACGGCTCCAAAGCGCGGTTAAAATATTTCCCAGTAAGGCCAATATTGTTTCCCTTTCCCAGATTCGGGAGCATATCAGCGGGTCAAATTGCCTGCCCTCGAGACAGGAAATAATGGAGTGCACTTTGATCATTGCGGATGCAAGTTGAGATTCAGTGCAGTGTTGGGGGAAGAATGATGTCCGTGGCCCAACCTCGTCACTCCATTGAGAATTGATGAGCGTCTGGGGATGACGTCGTATAGCGCGTCATCAACTCCATCCAAACTGGCCATGTTTGGCTCTCTTGTTGGAGGGCAACCAGAGACTGACCAGATTGGGGGGATCGGAATCCTGTGCCCTTGCCAGCGCCTGCCTCTTCCTTCTCGTTTCGGGTCAGTTAGTTACAACCTTCAACTGGGGCCCACGCTTCATTTATTTGTTATGATTCAGTGTGGGAACATCTTATGCTTTTTGTGTTGAATTTGGGTTGTGAATGACGGCGATGGATGTCCGTGTGAAAGCACGGTTGGAGTCTACCAACGGAGACGATTCCTTGTGAATTCATTGCACTTGGGTGATTCCCATGGAAGAACAACTCCTCAGTGAGTCCAAAAGGATCAGACAGATTCTCCCACATTTTTCTCCCCTCTGTTTTGGGATAACATGCACGCATCCGCGCCTCTTGCATTTGATTCCCGGAATTTATGAGCTCCCCCTTTCTAGATGCACTCGGTGCTGAGCTGACGTTTGCTTCGATTTTCCACGATCGACAATTTCTGGGCTTCAGGCCCAATGTATTCATAGATCATATCTATGACAGAAGGCCCACTCTTGATCTTGTGCTGCCGAAGCTTGCTCAACATGCCAACCGGCCTTTAAACTTCTACTGGGAGAATCATAACTTGTTTTTGAAAAAAAAAAAAATTGTCGTCATGTTTAGGAAGATGAGTACTTAATTTGAGAACTTCAATTTTAACGAAGTTCTAATTTAGTACTCTTTTTTTTAAAAAAAAAAAAAAGTCGATGACCAATCATCCTTCTGTCTTGTTCTTTTTTTTTTTTGTCATTTACTTTCTGACTTTGTTAAAAGAGACAAAATAAATGAAACGTTTAATTTCTATCAAGTATAGATATTATATAAAGGGCGTCCAAAAAAGATTATAAAAAGAAAACTTATATAAAGTCGGGCAGACGTCAATTTTATTTTTGTTTCAATTTCAGAAAAAATGTAAATTACAAACTTTTTTGATTTCTTCAGTCAAATACAATAAACTTATAATTGATAATGATATATTTTAGAAAACAATTGTGTGATTTCGTCATTAAATTGTTCATCTATTATGTTATCATAAAAAAATAATAATATATTGTATTATATTTTGATTAAAGAATTTAGTGCGCAGGGCTAATTTAATTTGAAATATACTTTTTGCCTGTGAAGAGAAATAAAAAGCCTAAATTTGTTTTGCATTTCGTCTTTAAAATAGATGCGATAAGAAAATAAACTCCCGACACCTTATTTGAAAATATCCAAAATTCTCAGGGACTCCAATGCTCGCTCTTCGTCCCGTTTTCATATGAACTGGAGCATGGTTATCTGGTTTTTTCCCCCACCTAAATCGTAATTATCACAACTTTTGGTTTTAATATGCTACCTCCGGTCCTTAATAGATAATTAATTTGAAGGGATTAAAAAATTAATTAAATTAGTTATTTGTGATAAATATATATTAACTTTTAAAATTATTCTTATTCAATCATGCTTATTGAAACTACACTTTGGTAAAAATATCTTATAGTAAATAAGATATTTTTAAGAATACATTCTAACCTTAAAAGATAAAATAAATTAGAATTTTATATTCAGAATCGTTTATTAACTCTTATATTAAAGGTAGGTATTTCTTTTCTTTTTTTAAATAGAAACTGGAATTCATTCATTCACACCTAACACAGACAAACAAAAACAATCGACATGATCTCACTGACTTTCGCTGTAACCATGTACATAACTTTTTGTGAAAGTGCCTTAAAATTATGACGAAGACATGATCTCGGCGACTTTTGGTCTAACATTGTACATAACTTTCTATAAAAACACCTTAATTTACAATGATTCCATTTTTCAATCGACGCATCTTTTATTTTGAAAATGTCCCAACAATGATTCTGTCTCGGTCGAAACAGTGCCACTTCTGGGAGTGGCCGTCCCAGGCTGTGCTTCAACTCTGTACTTGCTGTACATGTCGCCTTTGTAGAATTTTCTGGTCCTGATTACCAATATCAAAGAAATCAAGCACCCTATAACCGCCGATGCTGTGATTATGAGAAAGGCCATCTTATAGCAGTGAACTCCTATGCAAGTTAAGTCTTCCCCTGCTTCCATTTTAGGTCCCTTTGCCTGCAACTGTTTCAACGCCTCCTTGTCGTAAAAATAACCTGTCACCTTCACGTTCAGTATGTAAGCTCCCAGAGGGCTGGCCATTGCCCCCATATTGAGCAGAGTGGAGTAATACTTGAGGCCGAATATCTCAGATATGATGGCGAATATCAACGGCCATTGTGCTCCGAAGCAAAACCCGGCAATCACGGAAGAAAAGTAGAGAGAATTGGGGACGCCAAAGGCAATTAGAAGATGCCCCACACATGACAGTAGTATAATTAGAGAGAGCATCAAGGGACGAGGGAATTTGTATTTGGTCAAGAAGATTTCGGAGACGAAACCAGCGACTACTCGTCCCAGATAGTTCCATATGCTCACCAAGGACACAAAGGTGGAGGTACTCTTGCTCGGGTATCCCAAGGATTTTGCAATTTGTCCCAAGTTGTCAATAGCAGTCAAACTTCCACCGATACTGAAGGTTGCTGCCGTGAACAGAACTAGCATGTCAATGCTGAACAGAGCTTGCAATATGGTATAGTCCTCTCCCCTGTTGGGTGGTTTAAAAACGTTGTCCAGACAAGAGCTTTCCTTCTCTGGCTTTGTGGTATTGGTGGAAGATTCTAGCTGTGGCTGAGTTGATTCCGTCATTGGAGGCGGAGCTTCAGCGACGACTGCCACTTCAGAAGTACCGATCAAGCCTTGTTTTTTGGCTCTCCAGAGGTGCAGTTCTTCTCTGAAAACTACGGCCAGTGGGAGAAAAAGTAAGGACAGAACCACGATGCCATCAGACACATAGTCAATCCTCGTAAAGCTCAGCTGGTTCTGTACGATGATCAATCCCATAAGGAACCCTGCAAGGCCGAGTGAGATATAAAGAAGATTATAAAAAACTCTGAGCTCATTAGGCTGTCGAGTGTTGTTCAATATCCGAATTGTTGGGAGGAAAAAGATGGAGACAGCGGCAGGAATCCAAGCAATGAACAATATGAGAGATTTGGAGTCGTCAACATAGACGGCATGGTAAAGCTGAGTTATAATGGCGCCACTGAGCCCAACGTAACCCTTAAGAAGCCCCAAAACGCTGCCACGGCTTCCGGGGAAGTTCTTAACGCACGTGACTAAAGCACCGGTATTGGAAAAAGTCTGGGAATTAGCGCCAATGCAGATGTAGAGACACATTTGCCAGACTTGGGGCTTAGCGATACGACCGGTGACGGCGAGCCAGATCATGAAGTAGCCGAAGAAATTCATGACGGCTCCAATGGAAAGGACCACCCAAGGAGGAGTGATCTCGTTAATGAGTCCGGGCAAGACGCCCACATTGGCACCCAAGTCTTTGAAGAAACTGAGCAAGTTGAGAGTGGTCTGGTCGTAGCTTAACGAGGTCTTGATGTCGTTTGAGTATGAACCGAACATATACGTAGCGCCAGAGACGGCCATGATTAGCAGAGAGGCGAAGACCATGAACCAGCGGCCGGTGATCACTTGGTGGCTGATGTTTCTCAGTTCTGGGGAGCCACTACCACTGGTACTGGCCTCTGTGGCTACCATTGTTGCTCTGATGTTGTGGAGCTTGTTGTTTGGAACGAGGTTGTATAGACAAATGAGAAAGCAGGAGGATCCAAACGGAGTAAGAATCACAGGTGCTAAGAGGAAAATTATATCAGAATACGACACTGATAGAGGAACCAAGGGGATCATCTTTTATGTATAACCTTACCTGTTGGGATCCGGTTTAAATGATAGACGAGAAATCCAACAAGAAGCTATAACCGTATGTCCATCGTCCGCGCTGACGTGCTGTTGAATGGTTGAGGTGCAATTCTTTGTTGAGGGGTGGGTGGAGTAAAACAAACCAGGCAAGTAAAGAGGCAAATATTTTAATTAGGGTAAGATATATATTTAATTTTTATACAGTGTTTTGATTTGATTTCTCAATTCTAAAAAAATATATTTTCAGTTATTTAAATTTTAAAATTGTAACTAAAAAATGATGAGTAATAAAATATTTTTAAATACTAATCTATTAAGCTTAATTTTTAAAATAATTACCATAAATTATTATTTAAATTTAACAATATTAGAATTAAAAGATTAAAAATATAATTTTTAAAAACTAAAGTACTAAATTAAACTGTGTTGTATAAAAACAAGACTAAAAATATATGTTTTAAAAATTAAAGCACCAGATTCAAACCTTGTAAAGGGGGCGGATATGCACTATGAACCAACGGGGGAGACTTGGCAGTAAAAGAATGGTTTGAGGGAGTTTGACCAGGGAAATTCCAGTGTCAGCTCGAGTTCTTCAGAAAAAATCGCCCTGCAACGTCCTCGTCTTTGGCCTCGGCCACGACAGCTTGATGTGGAACTCGCTCAACCACGGCGGTCAGACGGTGTTCCGGGAGCAAGATAGATCGTGGTTCGTGGATCAGCCAATTACGAGAGAAATTCCCCTCGCTGGAGTCCTACCACTCGGTGTACGACACCAAAGTCCGAGACGCCGACGAGCTGATGAAGATCGGAATGAGGAAAAAGATTGCCGGACTCGAGATTTGACTGGATCAGCCGGGTTCGTCGGAGATGACAAGGGGTGAACTCTGCTTAATCAGTAACGTTGGCGGAGAAGCTTCTCTGGTGAAGCAGAGTGGCCGCTGAAGGATGTTGACGGAGATGACAAGGGAGGAGGATGAAGACGGAGGTAGGCAAACGAAGGAATATGGGGCCGTGAGAGGATGCAGGGTGAGGTCCGCATAAGTGAATAACATGAGCTAGGAAGGATAGTGGGGACCCCTTTCATTTTATTTATTTATTTCTTTTTTCTTATCGGAGCAGTTACCATCGTGCATTGGGGCTACGTGTTATTGTTACTTATCGTGATATTATGATGAGATCAGTCCCCGACTTGTGTCTGGTTATTTTATGCTTTCCTATGTTGAATTTGTGCTGTGAATGACAGCGATGGATACATGACAGGCCTTTGAACTAATTTACCATACGCTGGATAAATATGATCGAGCAGATTCCCATACTTTTCCCCCGCTTTTGCGGCCGGGAAAACTCATCCACGTACGTCTCTTGCATATATCCCAGGAATCTATGAGCTCCAATTTTCTAGGACACCCAATGCTGCCGTTTGCTTCAGCTTATAACGATTTAAATACTATGTGTCCGCTTCGATTAGCGGTGAACAACTGTGATTTTAAATAATCGTAAATTTTATAAGTGATACTGGTTAATCGTGATTTCTGTTTGAAATTTTTTTAAATAAGTAATTTTAAGAATTATGATTATATTTGGTTTTCATTTATTAAAATCACTTATAGGTGTATAATTACTAAAAAAGACATGAAGTTAATAAAATTGTTTGCATTTTCATAATTATTATATTTAATAATAAATTTTATTAAATATAATTTAATAAATGACGTGAATATTTAAATATTATTTTTATTTTAAAATTATTATTATTATTTAAAATCACTTACAAAATTTATGTGTAGTACAAATATTAAATAAAAGACCCCCATATAAATAAGATATTAATGAAAATTTTAAAAAAAATTTGATTAGCAATTTTAGTAACATAAATAAGGAAATTGAATGTTCAATCAAAATTATAACTAAGAAATAAAATTTAAACAACAAAACTAATTAATAAAAATGATAGCTAATTATTTTCTCAAAATTTGATCTCAAATTGACTCTCGAAGACGATCCATTTGAGGAAACTATGTTGGCACTTGGTCATGGATATGAAACAACATGATCATCATAATTTCCTTCGAGGATACTTTCATTTTCATAATGACTGAATTTAAAAAAAATAATTACCATTAGAATGAGGGGTAGATTAGAGAAAATTTAGTTGCTGAAGATTCATCGGGATTTTTCAAATACATAAACTACTTCTTGTTGCTTATCCTAAAAGTGCGGTAAAAGATTAAAATCACAATTTATGAGAATTTTATAAAAATTATCCAAACACTCCAAACATGCTTCATAAACACTTACTTGAATTTAAACAGGCTTATTTGATATCCTACCGCTTAACCAAACAGGCTGTAGTGCTTGGGGTGCCTTATAAACTAGTTTTGAGAGGTTCACGGCCGGCTGCTTAAGTGTGGCGTGATAAGTTTAGGCGTCATGGTCAATTCATGAATGAATCGTTCACTCCCACTATGCGACAAGGCGAAATATGTGTGTAGCCGACTTTGAATTTCACTAATAAAAATGTTGCAGGCGGCCACACCCACCATTTTTGTTCGTCTCTATCTGAACTTATATATCCAAATATGTTCGTTGTTTTTTGTCTCTGGACATTATCAAATAATACACTTCAGATATTAATGCGGTAACACATAACCACCAAATACTACTACTGCGTCTCTTATTATAAAATCTTTTTAACTAAATTACGTGATTTAAGAAAATAGTTAAAATTAATTAAAAGCAATTAATATGTAATAAATACAAATTTTTTTCCAAATATATTCCTATATATAAATGGGTAAATGTGATAAAGTAATAGTGAGATAAATGAAGAAAGAGAATGTATTAAATTATAGGTAAAATAGGTAATAATACATTAAATATTTAGAAAAACTCAAAAAGAAACTTATAAAAAGGGACAAATGATCTTATAATAAGCTACAGAAGAAGTATATTGGCAATGCAAATATCATAAAAACAACAAAGCACAACAACCTCTATGAAAAACACAAGCCTGTACGACCCCATCCTATAATCTCTGTATAAAATACGTCCCACCTATTTAATCCAAGGTCGTCAATACAATTACACCCGTCCTTGTACTTGTCGCTCGTCATTGCTCCTTCCTTTTCTACGCTTTTGGTTCCACCAAGAGATTGGAAAACAAGTCACGTCTTGGAGTTTGAGAACAGTGAGGCATGGATGAAGGTGAAGCAAAGAGAATGGAAGAGGGACACGGATATACAGCTGCGGGGAATGATGATCATGAGAAGGAAAGAAAGAAACCAAATGATATGGATTTGGAAGAAAAGGACCATGAGCATGACAAAGAGGTAAAAGTTATGACAACAGGCGTTGAACAAAACGCGGAGCAGCAGGAAAAGCCCCAGGTGAAGCAGAAGACTAAAAGGATTGCAACCTTAGATTCCTTCAGGGGCCTCACCATAGTGGTCTGTATGCTTCTCCATTTCATCATTAGTACTTTAATGAATCGTGTCTATATACAGAGTGGTAAAATTTGAATTTGAACTGTCAAGTTAATTTTGCTGTGTCTTGGGGATGTTAATTATTATAGTTGATGATCCTGGTAGACGATGCTGGAGTAGCTTACCCACGCATAGATCACTCCCCATGGAATGGATGTACTTTGGCCGATTTTGTTATGCCTTTCTTTCTTTTCATTGTTGGGGTTGCCATTGCCCTCGCTTTTAAGGTATCTACACTCTGTTTTAATTTATTTATCAGAGTCATGTCTTTTCGAAAGTTTATCTTTTCATTGTCGATGGTGTTATAACAAAGCAGAGAGTCCCCAAGACGAAGGATGCAGTGAAGAAGATAATTGTCAGGACATTGAAGCTCATATTCTGGGGTATTCTTCTGCAAGGTAATACCAATATCCAAACCAAATATCTCTGTCCAATAGTTTTGTATCGATCATAGAAAGTGAGTTGTGTAACAAGGAATGTAGAGGCTCTGATGATATAACATGGTGTAGGTGGCTACTCTCATGCTCCTGATGCCCTCTCCTATGGAGTTAACATGAAGCTAATCAGATGGTGTGGCATTCTCCAGGTAATTTGAACTTGTGGAGATATATGAGGCTCTAATTCGAAGTCGTCTTACAGTCTATATTCTACAACTCATTCCTTAATTTTGGGAAACCACTTGGTCTTTGTGGATGCCCAGAGAATAGCTCTTGTTTACTGCGTGATTGCTCTGATAGAAACATTCACCGCCAAGCACAGACCAACTTCCTTAAGCCCTGGGCTCCTCTCCATTTTCAAAGCATATAAATGGCAATGGTAAGAACTAAGAACGTGAGAAAGACACCAAATTCTTTGTCATCCTATTCTTATTAAAATAGTTACTGAATGATGTCGATTCGTGACCTTATGATAGGTTAGGGAGCTTTGTGGCGCTCCTCATATACATGATCACAGCGTATACACTCTACGTGCCAGATTGGAGCTTTGTGGATCGTAATGAAGATGAACATAAGAGATACACTGTATATACTCTCTCTGCTTCCTCATTTTCCATTAGTCATATACACGCATCACACTGCAACACTCTTTCTTTCTTTTTACCTTTTTCTTTTTTTGCTTTCTCTTTCCCCGAATAGGTCATTTGCGGAGTCAGAGGAGACCTAGAACCTGCATGTAACGCCGTTGGATATGTGGACCGACAAGTTTGGGGAGTTAACCATCTGTATTCCTATCCTGTTTGGAGACGTCTCAAGGTCACTTCTTCAATTATATCTGCTTTAAATTTTTTTTTTTTATGTAAAATATGAAAATTCTCGTTTGCTAACCCCCTTAAGTCAATTTTTAGTCTCGTTTTTATTATTTTCCCTACTACGCCGTATTGCAGGTGTGCACATTCAGTTCCCCAGATGAAGGTCCTCTGCGCGATGATGCTCCAACTTGGTGCCGTGCTCCCTTTGAACCGGAAGGCTTGTTAAGGTTTCTTCTTTTTGACGAGTTACATGTATATATGAAGAACTGTTAATTTTGAAGCTTCCAAAGGATGGACTTTATTGTGTTACTTTTCTGTGAACTAGCTCTGTATCTGCTATCATGACCGGGACCATCGGCGTGCATTATGGGCATGTCTTGATTCACTTCAAGGTTAGTTAATTCATCCTCATTACCTATAACTGCCAAGTCATTTGGGAGTTAAAGGTCCCAAAATTTTTGTGCAGGGTCACTCCGAGAGGCTCAAGCAGTGGGTCTCAATGGGGTTTGCATTACTCATTGTAGCCATCATTCTCCATTTTACAGACGGTAAGTTTAGAAAGACGCATCTCTTCGAAAATGAATTAAATATATTTGTCAATTTCTCTATCTGTGAGAAAATGATGGAGTTTAACCATTGAGTTCCCTGAAATGCAGCCATTCCACTTAACAAGCAACTCTACAGCTTCAGCTACGTTTGTTTCACAGCAGGGGCTGCTGGTATTGTGTTTTCTGGGTTTTACGTGCTGGTAAATCATATATTGTAATTCGACTACAATTTTTTTCCTTTATGCTTGGTTGTTTTATTTTCCTCCTGCTTGCCTTTCTTCTTGAACATATTTATGTAAACAGATCGATGTGTGGGGGCTTCGGACTCCATTCTTGTTCTTGGAGTGGATAGGAATGAACGCAATGCTGGTGTTTGTGTTGGGGGCACAAGGCATCCTTGCAGCATTTGTCAATGGATGGTACTACGAAGATCCACCGAACTCACTGGTAAGAAGAAAGATCCATTTTATCATCCATGATCTATTTTGATCATGTTCTGTATCAATGATAATTTTTGAATGAATCAGGTACACTGGATCCATAAGCACGTGTTTGTGAATGTTTGGAACTCAGAAAAAGTGGGGACTCTTTATATGTTATATTTGCTGAGATTGGTTTCTGGGCTGTGGTCTCTGGAATATTGCACAAGTTGGGAATATACTGGAAACTATAAATGAAGAATCGGTGATTCTTGTCCGTTTATTCAACTCTCTCATTATTTTTGTTTTTGGTGGTCTATGCACAACGGTCCCATTGTTCTTTAT